ACTGCACAGCCCTGGACGGAACGAAAGAAGACGTTACAGAGTTGTCCATCAGGGACCATCATTAAGGGGAGATAGACCTTGAGCACACCGACCTTTGCTAGGCAGTGTCACGAGCGAAGTGCGTCTCGCAGGTCGGTGGCCATGAGATAGATCTACGTTCTCCCAAGGACAGTGATAAGATGCGACCGCCGATAGGATGTCCTGTAATGCAGTGGCCGATCAGGGACGGGGAATGCTGTGTGTCAAAACACCGGACCGCTTCTGAGCAGGCAATCGGCACGCACGGAAATTTGATCCCTCTGCCCAAAAAGATAAAGTACTAATTAGTTATTACTGTGTGGCACGGAGGGGACCCAGCCAAATGGAAGTGCGCATTGTTCAGGAAAACAAGATGAGACCCGCTCCCGTCAATGAAGAGTCGCCAGCGTCCCGAGACTCCTGTACTCTTGCCGAAAGGCCTACGCATGGCCTTCAGGAGTCTAGATGCCACGCCGTCGTGAGGTCTCCATAGTGCAGACAAGCAGAGAAAGGAAATGGGGAAAGATGCTGCCCGTGGAGAAGAAGGCCGCGCGGTACGGAACATGGCATAAGGAGAACGGACTCAAGCCTGAAGTTCTGCCCTCGCTAACTTACAGAGTCATTGTTAAATAGTCCGATTTCCAATTGCCTTATCAAGCCTCTGCAAGATCAAGAACACAAAGCGTTCATACGGTCAGGTGCCCTAACGCCGGCTATATGCTGACAGTCACAACGGCGGTACGGTGCTAGCATCGCGAGACAAAGAACAAGAAACAGACGGATTGTGTGGACTTGGTGTCTTATCTGGCCCCGGTTCGTACCGGCGGAACAAAGAAAAGAACCCCTGGAAGCCCGTTGCTGAAAAGAAATTCGGGCTTTCTTTTTTTTTTTGGGGGGGGGGGGGGACGGGCACCGATGCCACCGAACCGTTGTCCGCTGCGCCACGAAAGCCACCCAGCACCGGCGGGAACCAGAGAAGTTGGAGAGGGATCTAGCATGAAACCGTATCCCATTCCCGGGCGGCGATGCTGACGCTGACGCTGATGCTGTTGGCTGCTCAGCATTAGACGGTAGAGGTTCATGAAGAGTTGATATCCGTAGATGTGCAGTGACTTGAGAATCGGATCTGCACCAAGGCCGGATTGAAGATGCCCGGGTCTTGCCATCACCACATCGCAGTGGGCTTTTCTATGGGATACCCATCTCTGCCACGGTTCAAAAATGCATATAGCGAGGCCCATCTGCTTCAAGACTTGCAGCAGACTGAACGAATAATACCGATTTTTCGAGAAACGATAGCTAGCATGGACGATTTGCCATTTGCCATTAGCTAGTCAAAGTGACGTAAGGTACGAACAGGTAGCAATTTCGGAGGCAGCCCGAAAGCACACTCTGCCGGATCGTTATAGTCCAGCGACTTGTGATATGAGGATGTGTAGAAAAAGACCTGGTGAAGGACGGGAGGTATGGGCGAGCGGACGCCCCTCCCATCGAGATCGTTGCGCAAACTCGGAATCCGGCTTTGCAGTGGATTCTTGCATGGTGGAAAATGGGTAGCTTGTCATTTTGGTGTGTTGCGCTATCGTTCGCAAAGGGGAAAAGTCGATTCGCTAGGCATGCCCGGAAAATGCCATGGCATGGAGCGGTACCTGTGCTATTCCAATTTGGCTGGACTGCGGTCCAGTCACTCCGTCTGGTGTTTTTTTCCCCCACTTCCTATTCTCCAACCAAGTGGGTTGAGGAACGTGTGTATGACAGCATCCTCGTAGACCGTACAAAACATTTGATTCACATATTGAAGATACCCATATCCGTATTTACGTACTAAGGTAGTGCATAGACGGATAACTGTATATACGAATCAGAGAAGAAATATTCGGGCAAGAAAGGAGGAGCGGGCAAAAGGCAGTTGCGAGAGCCCGACGCCAAGACAGACAACAGTGCGCCTTCCATTGTTTGACTCTTGCTCAGTGAGTTGTTCAATGGGGTTACCTTAGTGCCGACTGCCCACTGGCCATGCTGGTGTCTTTCCAAGTCTCTGATTGACTCGTTCTAAAGCCGGTACCTGCATCCAATTCAGGTTGGATTTCCCACCCATTCGTTATCGCTAGGCACTTTAGCGTTGGCCCATTCTTTTCTTTTCTTTCCACCCTTACCTAGTGAGGTGTGTAGGCCTCCTTTTCGGCTTTGATTAGCACCCCCGCCAGCCTCTTTCCCACGTACCTTTTGCCCCCACTCTCCCGCCTCCGCCCTCGCGGCCCCCTCCAGGTTTCTTGTCCCAAAACCCAGGCATAACCAGGTGCCAGGCTGAAATCCTCCGGAAGGCCCCAATTTCAATGGATGCATGCACGGATGGTGAGAGCATTGTGCTCTTCACCGCGAGAATCTCCATCGCAAGTTCGTGCTATTGCGTTGGCCTCCGAGGGTTGTGAAGGTTGTGACTTTTATAGAAAACTCCCTTGCGTCCATTCTGCTTTCATTCCGGGGAGCCAGAACCATGCAGAATATCCAGGAACCCACCCAGCTTACTAGCACTGCACACAGTATGCGAATAACTTCAGCTTGACAGAGAAGGCCGCTCTTGAAATAAACAGTGGACCATCAAGCGCGAGTTATGGGTCTTGACTCTCGACTTTGTGCATCGAAATGGAAACAAATCGACAAATCGTTCATCGCCTTTCTCCTGGGGCAAATTTCGCACTCGGCACAACTGTCGTCATTCCACTGCACCACAAGGCCACCATGTGCCTGTAAGGTAGCATTATACTATCTTATATACCTCAAGCACAGGGCACATGCTTTACTAAAGTCGCGTTCCTACTGGGGTGAACTTGAAGCAGGTTTTGAGCAGTTCGTGCAACGGAGTACAGATATGGATGCCATGCGCGACGGGCAATTGCCACGGGCCATAGCGCCAGAGTCGAGGGATTGAGACCACTGATCATCCCGAGTTTAACATGGCATTGTTGTCATCCAATTCAGCCATTTGTTGTTGACGGTTGTTGATCTTTTCCTAGCGGTGCTGATCTGCTGTCGGGCCGCCTACCTACTAAAGTGAAAGTCACCAAAACGACGCGTCTCTGGGGCATGAAAATCAGCTAACGCGACGATATACTCTACTGTGTACGTATATATATACAGTGCGAAGAGTGAGTATCCGAAGATAGATCAATGGTGGGTTCACACTAAGGCAGGATGCAGGCAATGTGTTGGCCGCAGGTACTTGGGATTCGTACGTCTGTCTGCGTATTGGTGTGCTTCCAGTTCGGTGGTGCAGCGGTGGCAAACCCAATGCATCCTTTGTCGGCGTGAGGCCACTTGGCAGCCGACAGACACGAAGTGCAGCCAGCATTATTACGAGCTGTCGACTCTGGAGGGTTGACAAGACTCGTGTTCCAGTAGAGACACAACACTTCTCGTGCTGTTCGCGATATAGCGCGAATATATAGCGGCAACTGATATGTCTGTTCGATACCAGTTGCTCTGGGCGGACTGCCGCAGTCAACTCACGTCACCAAACTTTGTCTATACCTGCTGTCGAGCGGCATATCCGATAACTCACAGACTATAAGTCCAACCTGCGATCAATCCGATCTCTTCGGCCAGAGGTCAGAGTGTGCTGAAGCCCGCCTCTGTCTCTGCTTGCGAGCTGCAGCTGACAGCTCGCTCAGTCCGAAGGTCAAAGCGAGCGGCCTTATCAACTCTATCTGTGTGCGAGAGAAATAAACCAGATGTTCCTACTTCCCAGAGCTGGTCCGCGGATAGAGTTGCAGTACCGAAGTACCCAGTAGAACAAGCCCACCGAGGCGCAGCGGCTGTTACTGGGACGGAGATATCAGCTGCCCACCCACGACCATCCGCAAAAGTCTGTGTGTGTATTGCTTAACTTGCTTGTCCTTCAGCCTTCAGAGCCTTGGCTGAGGCCGGATGACGGGGACAACCGTTGTGGCTCGGAAAACGCACGAGGGTTGCAGATAATGCGGCAGCTGCACGTCTGTCACAGAAGTAATGGCAGACGAGTTGACGGTCGAAGGGAAAGTCCGCAAGGCCCATGGGCTGAAGTGGATATCTTGTCGGAGAAGTTAAGAACCATGCTTCCACTGCTTTGGTCTGGTTTGAACCAATCTCGGGAAAGATGATCTGAGGTCGGGTTCATGGGGAGAATGACATGGTGCGGAGCGAGACGAGTTTGACCGTTGACGGGATCTCGGGAACAGGATGCTCTCGTCGCTCGATAATGCTCTAGGATTACCACCTATTCCTTATTATCCTCGCTAGCTCATGGACGATGTACGTGTCCAACTCGTATCGAGCATTTCAAGATCGATACGGCGTTAACGGCAACCGCGACGGGCCGAGAGGGAGGCAGAATTGGACTTAGACGAGCAGCATTTTGCTGGGTTGGAAAAATCAATTCCCCTTTTGGCGAGGCGGCGGTGCGAGAACTGAAGGAATACAGGTTTGAGAGGTCAGACGTAGCTGCGACGAGATGAACCCTCACCCAATCCCCATGGATCTCGGTTGTGATCTGGACAGGACAGGACCTTGACACGCTTGAGTCAACCCCTGCCCTAGCTGTTAATTACCTAGCAGCAAGTACCGGAACGCCCGGCCTTGCTCTGGAAGGCAGGCCAAAGATCCAGGTACGCAGTACGCAGTAGCGTCCCCTGTTGCGCGGATCGGTTGCCCCTTTCCCGTGAGAGGCTCAGCCCATTCTCCCTCGTTGAGATATTTGTCCACAACCAATCGAAAGGGGAAGGAAGAGATTCGATAACAACGACATTGAGGGAAAGAGATGGATTGATAATCCGATGGAGACGTGTTTGATGGAGTGCCCCATGGAGTCAGCATCCAGCTGCCAAGGAACGCTCGACAGATAACGATCCTGCGTAGTACTGTACTATTATGGATAAGGAGATGCGGTTCTTTCAGGCTTCCAGAATCCAGATTGCCATATTTGCTAGGATTCAAAGTGCCAACCCATGGCGACGCGTGAAGTGACCTACAACTCTCGTTTTGAAAGTGGCTGGGTGGCGTATGACATATGGTATACAACGCGACTCCAGAGTCGATTGCTTAGTAGCGAGGCCTGGCATATGAACGAAATGACTCCTCGCTGGACGAGTGAAGTAGGCACTCATAGCTGGGCTATGAATAGCAGCAGCATCTGTATCTGTACGCGTAGCTTCAGGGTAAGGGGTGAGACTGTGAGTGAAGTGAAGAGCGAGTGCACAGTGAAGTGAGTCCAGTGAGTGAGTGGGCGAGTGAGGGCGGTGTTTGACGTTCCTCTATGGTGGAGCCGTGCCCCCCAAAAGGCAATTCGCATCCAATGACATTGGACGTTCATCGCCCCCCTTCCTTGGCCTGCCAATTCAACACAGCCCCTGTTGGGTGCAGGTGGCAGGTCGGAGGTCTGAGCCTTGAAGTTGGAGTGGAGGGTGACGGGAGTTTTCTCGCCTTGAATCTGGCTGTCTGGCACAGAAGTCTGGCACTGTCACTGCCAGTCAAAACTCAATGACGGCGGGCTGCAGGCCTGCACTTGAACTTCACCCTCCTGCCGGGACCAGCCCCCTGTCCGTCGTAATTCCCCACCCTCTCGAGGAACGTACCTTTTCTCACAGTGCGACACTGAGGGCAGGGTGGGCAGGTACTTTCTCATTCCTGCCCGTCTTTCCAGCCCGCGGGCAGAGCTTGACTGGCCAGGACATCCCACTCTTTCCGCCCACAGACACGACACGCCGTTTGCCCCGGCTCCTTGCCCAGCTGGATTTCAAGTTCAACTTGTCTGTTCTTTTCATCTGACCAGTCAACGTGCAGGAATGCAGTCGCACAGCCACGCCTTCCTGCCGGAAAACTCAGAAGAACCTGATAAAGAAAACGACAACTTTGAAGATCGAGACAGAGACGTCTTGCGATTTGGGACTGAAGAGAAAGAGCAAGAAAGCAAAGAAGAAAAGGAGAAAAGACATAGAACAATTGCCCACTCCTCAACGCGTTCCAACTTTCAAGATGCCGCTGCCGCCTGCATGAGGCAAGACAGGTATCTGTGGTATAGTCCTGTGCCTGGATGAGGTACTTCCCTGGACGAGGTCAATCCTGGACAATAGGTGGGCCGCCTTCATCATCACCAAGCCCTGTCTACTGCACTATGAACTCTCCTGTCCTTTAACCGGCGGCATGTCTGAATCTGGTCCAGGTCCTGAAGGCTCTTCCAAAACACTTGTTCCTGTCTGTGAGTGTATCCGTACGGAAAATTAGTTGGGCTTCCCATTCGTACTAAGGTATTCTGATCTGTGCCTGCCTTGCTGCTGCAGACTGCAATTCTCTTGACTCTTGATCTATACTGTGTAAACAGAAGGTTCCCTGTGTGGACCCACCCCTGTTCTAATTTTTCCTGCTTGCTGCAGCCCGTTCAGGACGGGCCGTCTGGGATTCTGAGGGGGGTGTCTCTCCTCCTTTTTCTTTTCCATATTTTTTGTCTTGTTTTTGGTGCATACGTAGCTGCCGGCGCGACTCTTGCTGTGCACTGTATGAATAAGGTAGGTTCATAGAGAAGGGAGCAGTCCTTTTCGCCCAGTTGTGCATCTAATTGTGCCTACTAGCAGCATCCCGTCCCTCTCATGTCCGTCGTTCGTTAGAGAACAGTCATTACACTGTACTGTACAGGTCTGCTGCGGTTTCCCTCCCATCTGAGGATCTCAAGTGCCCGTCAACTTCAAGGTTGTGTGCCTGTGTCATCTCCCACTGTGCAGCACCCCCAGTCTTATCCCTTAACCGCCCATCCATCCACCTATCCATCCATCTGCCTCCCCCCTTTTTGAAGCATTGTGGCGTGGGCTGTTACTTGTGTATTCGTAAAGGTACCGTCCTCTTAGCCTGTCGTCTCTTACCTTAGCACCAACAGGCCCGTTGTCACTTCCATCCACTCCCTCTCTCTATCCGTACCTACCTCCTGCTCCTCCACCCAACCTCTTCTCTCCCGCTGCCTCGCCTCGAACCTCACCTTTTTACCTCCTTCCACACCACAACAGGTTCGCACCTTCCACACTTCGCGTTCCGTCCACCCCTTTTCTTCCCTCCTTCCACCTGCGCTTTTTTTTTTTTCAACCCTTAATTCATCACGCTCGTTTGTGAGACGGCCTCCCTGGGCAGTCGCGAATTTCAAAACAACAAAAAAAAAGTATTACACATCACCAGTCAATCGCTTCGTCGTCTTCTCGAGAGCCGGCCAAGCTTTTGGGTCTACTGCAAGAGGTCGTGCTTTGCCCTCTCCTAAGCAGTCCAACGCATCGTGTCTCCGGCGCCAACCTTGCCCAACCTCTTTGGTTTACGGTTTACCACCTCCAAAGGAACAATCACCAAATCAACTACGCCAGTCGGCCTTGCCGTACTCCCGCAGCCCCCTTCCTCTACCTCACGCCGCCGAGCCACTAGACAGTCTACGACTTTGCAATTCAAATCACTGTCGCTATCTACTCTTGTTGTGCCGGCCACATCAGTTTGGGCTCACCATCGTCAGCCCTCCCACTGATCCTACCACAATCATCTCGAGAATTCTCCCTGATGACTTTTGGACGGTCAGTAACCCAACCTCACCTCACCTTCCACCCCCAAAGGCCCTCCTCTCTCCACAACCCCGCTTGCCAATGGATGTGGCTTGCAAATGTGTTGATCAGGCCGTACTGACTCTGATGCTCTGCTAGATAATCGCTTTTCAGAATGTCGGGATACCCAGCCGGTGGTGCTGGTGGCGGTGGCCACCAGGGCTATGATGACGGCTACGACCAACAGGGTCGCGGCCATGGAGGAAACGGAACTCAGCAGACCGATTCCTACTACCAGGACGACCAGCAGTACTATGACCAGCATGGTGCCTACGACGCCCACGGTGGTCACCCCCAGCAAGGCGGCGATGGCTACTACGATGAGTCGTATGTTCTTCGTTCTTGCCGACTCCAATTGAAGGATTATGCTAACCATGCTTTCCAGGGGCTACTACAACGCCGACCCGAACAATGCCTACCACCAGGATGGCGGATACTACGACAACAACGAGCAGTACCAGGACGGCTACTATGATAACAACCACCCCAATGGCTACTACGATCAGGACTACAACCAGGGGCATGCCGGTGGACAACGTCATCAGGGCTCCGAGGAAGACTCTGAGACCTTCAGCGACTTCACCATGAGATCCGACATGGCTCGAGCAGCCGATATGGATTACTACGGCCGCGGCGACGAACGTTACAACAGCTATGATCAGGGCGGTGCTCGTGGATTCAGACCCCCTTCCTCCCAGATTTCCTATGGCGGAAACCGCTCTTCCGGGGCTTCGACTCCTAACTACGGCATGGACTACGCCAACATGATGTCGGCTGCTTCTCGCGAGCCGTACCCTGCTTGGAGCGCCGATGCTCAGATTCCCCTTTCCAAGGAAGAGATTGAGGATATTTTCCTCGATCTTTGTGCCAAGTTTGGATTCCAGCGGGACAGCATGCGCAACATGTACGACCACTTCATGATTCTTTTGGACTCGAGAGCTTCTCGCATGACCCCTAATCAGGCTCTGTTGTCTCTCCACGCCGACTACATTGGTGGAGACAACGCCAACTACCGCAAGTGGTACTTCGCCGCTCACCTGGACTTGGATGACGCAGTCGGCTTCGCCAATATGAAGGGCAAGGGTCTGCGTCGCAAGGCCAAGAACAAGAAGAAGAAGAAGGGTGAAGCTGAGAACGAGGCCGAGGCTCTGGATGACCTTGAGGGTGATAACTCTCTCGAAGCTGCCGAGTACCGCTGGAAGACGCGCATGAACCGCATGTCTCAGCATGACCGCGTTCGCCAGCTTGCTCTGTACCTGCTCTGCTGGGGTGAAGCCAACCAGGTTCGCTTCATGCCCGAGTGCTTGTGCTTCATCTTCAAGTGTGCCGACGACTACCTCAACACTCCCGCATGCCAGAACTTGGTGGAGCCTGTGGAGGAGTTCACCTTCCTCAACAACGTCATTACACCCATCTACCAGTTCTGCAGAGACCAGGGCTACGAAATCTCGGATGGCGTCTACGTGCGACGCGAGCGTGATCACGACAAGGTCATCGGATACGACGACTGCAACCAGCTCTTCTGGTACCCCGAAGGAATCGAGAAGATTGTTCTCGAGGACAAGTCCAAGTTGGTCGACATTCCTCCTGCCGAGCGATACCTCAAGTTTAAGGACATCAACTGGAAGAAGTGCTTCTTCAAGACGTACAAGGAGACTCGGTCATGGTTCCATTTGCTTGTTAACTTCAACCGTATCTGGATCATCCACTTGACCATGTTCTGGTTCTACACTGCACACAACTCGCCCAGTTTGGTCGTCGGTCCTTCGTACGAGCAACAAGCCAACCAGCAGCCGACGACGGCCCAGAACTTCTCTATCGTTGGATTCGGTGGTACGATCGCCGCGCTCATTCAGGTTTTGGCTACTCTGGCTGAGTGGGCATACGTGCCTCGCAAATGGGCTGGCGCGCAGCACTTGACCAAGCGTCTCCTGTTCTTGATCTTCATTCTCATCATCAACGTTGCGCCCTTCGTCTACGTCTTCGTGCTCCCGAACCCCAATGAGCAGATTGCTAAGATCCTCGCCATTGTGCAGTTCATTATTGCGCTCCTCACCTTCATCTTCTTCTCGGTCATGCCGCTCGGCGGTCTCTTCGGCAGCTACTTGACCAAGAACTCGCGCAAGTACGTTGCCAGCCAGACATTCACGGCAAGCTACCCGCGCTTGAAGGGCAATGACATGGCCATGTCTTACGGTCTCTGGGTTGCTGTCTTCGGTGCCAAGTTCGGAGAATCCTACGTCTACCTGACTTTGTCCTTCAGAGATCCCATTCGATACCTCACCATCATGAACATCGAGTGTCTCGGCGACAAGATCATTGGCGATATTCTGTGCAAGAAGCAGCCGTACGTTCTTCTGGCTCTGATGGCCTTCACCGATTTGATCTTCTTCTTCCTCGACACGTACCTGTGGTATGTCTTGGTCAATGCCATTTTCTCCATTGCTCGATCCTTCTACATCGGTTCTTCCATCTGGACACCTTGGAGAAACATTTTCTCTCGCTTGCCCAAACGTATCTACTCCAAGATTCTCGCTACTGGCGACATGGAGATCAAGTACAAGCCAAAGGTTCTCATCTCCCAAGTTTGGAACGCCATCGTCATCTCCATGTACAGAGAGCACTTGTTGGCCATCGACCACGTGCAGAAGCTTCTCTACCATCAGGTTCCTTCCGAGCAGGAGGGTAAGAGAACATTGAGAGCGCCTACTTTCTTCGTTTCCCAGGAAGATCACTCGTTCAAGACTGAGTTCTTCCCTACCGACAGCGAAGCTGAGAGACGTCTTTCCTTCTTCGCTCAATCGCTGTCTACTCCTATCCCGGAGCCCGTGCCAGTCGATAACATGCCGACCTTCACCGTCCTCATTCCTCACTACAGCGAAAAGATTCTGCTTTCTCTCCGTGAGATTATTCGCGAGGATGAGCCCTACTCTCGCGTGACCTTGCTCGAGTACCTCAAGCAGCTTCACCCGCATGAATGGGACTGCTTCGTCAAGGACACCAAGATCCTGGCCGACGAAACCTCCCAGTTCAATGGCGACGGCAACACCAACGAGAAGAACGAAAAGGACACCGCCAAGAGCAAGATCGACGACTTGCCCTTCTACTGCATTGGTTTCAAATCTTCCGCCCCCGAGTACACTCTCAGAACCCGTATTTGGGCATCTCTTCGCTTCCAGACCTTGTATCGCACGATCTCTGGCTTCATGAATTATAGTAGAGCTATCAAGCTTTTGTATCGCGTGGAAAACCCAGAGGTTGTCCAAATGTTCGGTGGCAACTCCGACAAGCTCGAGCGTGAGCTCGAGCGCATGGCTCGTCGCAAGTTCAAGCTCTGTGTTTCCATGCAGCGTTACGCCAAGTTCAAGAAGGAAGAGATGGAGAACGCCGAGTTCCTCCTTCGTGCCTACCCCGATCTTCAGATCGCCTACCTCGACGAGGAGCCCCCTCTGGCTGAGGGCGAGGAGCCTCGTCTGTACTCTGCTCTCATCGACGGTCACTCGGAGATCATGGAGAACGGCATGCGCAAGCCCAAGTTCCGCATCCAGCTTTCCGGCAACCCCATCTTGGGAGACGGCAAATCCGACAACCAGAACCACTCGCTTATCTTCTACCGCGGTGAATACATCCAGCTTATCGACGCCAACCAGGACAACTACCTCGAGGAGTGTCTCAAGATCCGATCCGTCCTTGCCGAATTCGAGGAGATGAAGACTGATAATGTCAGCCCCTACACTCCTGGTGTCAAGAGCAAGATGACCAACCCTGTCGCTATTCTTGGTGCTCGGGAGTACATTTTCTCTGAGAACATTGGTATCCTCGGTGACGTTGCTGCTGGAAAGGAACAGACATTCGGTACTCTCTTCGCCCGTACCCTTGCTCAGATTGGAGGCAAGCTTCATTACG